TTTATCTTTAAGCTTCTCGTCCTCTACTGTCAACCATCCTCTCTTAGTCCATAATCGATTCGTTCAATATTGATTGAAGATAAATTATCTTTTAATTCTTCCATTTGTTTTAATAAATATAATTCATTTACTTTCAATGAGGCTATTTCATTTGATAATTTTTCTATTTCTAAAGAATAATGTTTTGTTTCATCATCACGATAGAGTTTAAGATTTTTTAATTCTGTTTCTGAATGTTCAAAATTAATTATCAACGAATCTTTCTATTTTAGAAAGAAAATATATTTTTAGAATAGATAGTTCGTTTTAAGAACATGTAGAATAAATGATTACCTGTTCTCGAACGGTGCATAATCCTTGTTGTAATGATTTTATTTTATTTTCATGTTCTTCTTCAATTGATCTTAAACGAGAGATTTCACGTTCTTGTAAACGAATCTATAAAATGCAAAAAATTCAATAAGAAATATAATATTTTTCTTCTGGCTAACATTAAAAATGATAAATACCTCTTCTTTTGCATAACTCGATTTAATTTCAACTGCATGAAGATTTTCATCATAGCGTATCAGTTGATCGTGTTTTGCACTTAACTTTAAAAATAAGAATAATTTAGTCAAAGTTATAGTTTAGAATTGTTTAACACTCTTCCTGTCCTCACTCTTAAAAATGATAATTTTTCTCGAATATATTGATTTTAAGATAAGCTCATGGAGTGTCTACTTTCAGAATTCGTACCGCTATCTTTCCTATAAGTTTTTTCAGAACACTAGCAAAACAAAAGTAAAACTGTTATTTTCGTCGACAAGTCCTCATATGTCCTAAAAATCTCCGTTCAAATAGTTAATGATACTCTCAGATTTGTCTTAAAATCAAGTTTTTTTTCGATATTGGACTAAGAGAGGATGGTTGACAGTAGAGGACGAGAAGCTTAAAGATAAATCTTTACTTGTGTATTATATGTTTTTTGTATTTGTTGTAATTCTTCTTCCTTCAATTTTAAATCATCTGTCAATTGTTCTACTTGTTCGGATAAAATATTATTTGATTGTTCATATTCAGCTAAATTTTCAGACAAATTACGAATCTAAAGAGAAGAAAAATCTTAGCTCAAATAACATTTAGAGAGGATACAATCAATGCACAGATGCAATCGACACATTATGACTCACTTCTATTTGTAATAATTTAATATCATTTTGTGCTTTTGACACATTATCTTCGGCACATTTTTCTCGTCGTTGTGTTTTTGTTAGTCCCGTTTCTAATGTTTCACTTAAAAGAGCAGCTTCAGCTGATTTATCAATAACCATTTGTTCTAATTCTTGAATGTGATATTGTCTATCATTCAATTCTTTATATTTTACTGTTAATTCATGTTTTAATTTGGAAATATCTTGTTCATAATCGAATAATGTTTTATTTCTCGAATCTATCAATTGCATTGTTTCAACTAGTTTTGTTTCAAGTAAATGTGAACGATTTTCTAAATCTAAATATATTTTTTCTTTTTCATCGTAATGATGTTTAGATGTTAAGAATTCACGTTTCACAGATTCTAATTCAACTGTTATCGATTGATGTTGATCTTTTAAACTTTTAAATTCTGTTTCTAACATGGTATATTTCGTTTTTTCAGATAATAAATATTCTCGACATGAACAATGTTCACAGTCTTTCTTATAAATCTAAAAATAATATATCATAAAACTATTTGTGATATATCATAGACTAAATTGTCTATACCCACCATATCTGCTCTTTCATCACATAATCTTTTCAATGATCGTATCTCCGAATGCAATTGATCTGTATCTGTTTCTTTTATTTGAGCCTAAAATTAATTTTATTTTATAATTAACATAAAAGAACATGATTTTAACGCACATTTTGTATTTGTTCATCAAACATTTTCTTTAATGTTTGAATTTCATGTTCTAATTTATTATTATTGGCATCTTTTGTTTTTAGCTAAAAAAATTTTGTAAAATAAATTTAAATCACCATCTTACTTTGTACTATAAAACTTACTTCATATGACACATCGTCAAAACGTTTTCTAGTCGAACGTAGTTCTTGTTCAAGTTTATCGTAATCATCTTTTTGAATAATCTATGCAAAAAATTGTTCATTTATATATCGATAATATGAAAATAAAAATCTGTACTCACTAGTTCCATTCTGTTAGTTGTACTGTTATTATATTTACTTTCAGATATTCGCTTCAAATTTTGTATTTCAAATTCTAAATCGTGAATAAGTGAATCTTTTGCTCGACACTATAGAAAATGAAACATTATGTTTGAAAAAGAGATCAATAGTTCTTTTGAGAAATTTTTTGTAGAAATTGTAGAAATTTGATTTTCATGTTTAGAAAAAATAAAATTTTCTTATTTATCATTAATTATTACGCTTAAAGTTGCATAAATTTCTTACTTTTCTTTCAGTATCAACTAATTCTTGTGTCAAACGTATGCGTTCACTTGATACAGTGTCAAGTTGCAATTGAAGTTGTTCGAGATTATGTTTTTTCAATTTAGAATCTTGGTTTAATGTTGATGTCAGTTCTTGATGCCTGTCAGTAATTAGTTTTAATTTTGATGATAAATCATTAATATGTTCATCATATTTTTGTTTTTTTATTAGAAATTCTTCATTACACTCTTTTAATGCATTTGTTTTTAAACGAAGCTAAAATAACAAATAAGTAAACAAAATAAAATGATATATTCAAATAGATAGTCAAACATTACCTCCATTTTACATGTTTCACTTCTTTGACATTCATCTACCAATTTTTGACGCAAATCACTTACTTTTTGAGTTAATACGGCATTCTAAACATTCAAACGGTAATAACACATATCTTTTTAGAAATTTAAAATTATTTCGTACTTGACCCATTACGTCATTTTCGCTCAAAAGTGATGAAAATATATTCTGCTTAGAATTTCCAGATGTCTAAAATTTATACAAATAATATTTTCATCTTCTGTGATTTATAACACAGTCAACAATTACTTGTTTTGTTAAATCTTCTTGTACTCGTCTTAATTGATCAATTTCTGTTTGTAATGCTTGTATTCGATCATCTCGATATTTTAATTCATTTTGTAATGGATTTCCAATCATTTTACTTAAATCGTCTGATGTTACACCAACGATTTTTTCATATGGAACATGAATAAGATTTAACTTTTTTGTCTCAAAAAACCAAACAATCATGATAGATATCGAAATATGTATAACATATCGAAATTCTATGTTTCTTACTTCCCATCGACCAGTTCTCTTTGCCAAATTAATAAATGATATCAAAGAATCTAAATCATGTTTCAAATTGAGATTATCGTGTGTTAACTTCCATTTTTCAGCTTCAATATTCTAAAAGATATATAGATCAATCGAAAAATTGAGAAATAAGTTCGATTTACTTAACTTACTGATACAGTTTTAGTGACATCTGATAACGAATAATTATTCTATAAAAATAGAAAATTAAAAAAACTACTAAAGGAC